ATGATTCCGGTAGTAATATAGTAATAGGAAGGGTAATGGTAACAGTAATGGTCAAGCTAATGGTAAAACGAATGGGAATTGTAATATGGTAATAATAATGGTCATAGTAACGGTAATGGTGACGATAATGACAATGATAATGGTGACGGCAATGGTAATAATAAGATAATGGTAACGATAACTATAACGGTACTATCAACAGAGATAATGGACACAAGCACCCATACTTCCTACAGGAGTGGCCATGGGACACACACACACACACACACACACACACACACACACACACACACACACACACACACACACACACACACACACACACACACACACACTCGGGACCCCCTAAGGTGCTGTTACCCTAGCACTTTTACCGTCAATTTTTTAAAAATTTTCCGAAATTTTGTCCATTTTTGAGCGAATTGTCGATTTTCCAGTCAGACGATAATGATCGTTTCCGTCTGAAAACCTTTCCGTCAACTTTTTTAGCCAAGCATAGTCAAATCAAGAGCTATATTCGAGAATGTTTGTATTTATGTTAAAAATAAAATTGCCAAAAAATAGACGGAAAAAGTGCTCGCGTGACAGCACCTTCAGACGAGAGCCGGAACAGCATCTCGCGCCAGTCAGCCAATCACCGTCGACGAGAGATGCTGTCCCGGCTCTCTGATAAGGTGTCCGAGTGCCTCTGAATATGAGGCGGAAGAAATGAGGGCGAAAGAGTCCTTTAATGGGTCGCAGAACCCGTGAGAGCTGACCTATGATGACCTATGTTCTCTGAGAATCTGGTTACCGAGTTACTTTTTATTAGGGGAAAAAATGTAGTTTCCTATCAATATATTTTCAAGTCGAGGAAAAGGACCATGATAATGATAATAAAACAATAATGATGATAACGATAGTAATAACAACACTGGCAATAATAATAATAATATTAATCACCATAATGAAAATAACGATTATCATTTAATACAAGAAAAAAAAGGTGATAATCAGAAAGAACGAGAAGAGAGAGAGAAGAAAAAGAGAGAGAGAGAGAGAGAGAGAGAGAGAGAGAGAGAGAGAGAGAGAGAGAGAGAGAGAGAAGAGAGAGAAGAGAGAGAGAGAGAGAAGAGAGAAGAGAGAAAGAGAAAGAGAAAAAAGAAAAAAAGAAGAAAGATAGAAAGAAAGAGAAGAAAGAATAGAGAGAGAAAGAAAGAAAGAAAGAAAGAAAAGAAAAGGGAAATGAGAAATGACGCCAACTCTTTCCAGCGGAGCAACTGCTGACTCCTGGAATGAGAAGAGAGGCAGATACGATAAGAAGCCGAGGGTCTTATCTCTTATCGGGGGCTGAGCGATGCCCTCTTCGCTGCTGCCAGATGTACGAGGTGGAGAGCCGTGGTCTTGGCGGGTTTCTGTTTGTCTGTTTGTTTGTGTTTGATTGCTCTTTGTTTGTTTTCTTCTTGTTTGTTTGTTTTTTGTTTGCTTGTATGTTTGCGTTTTATTGTTTGTTTGTTTGATTGTTGTTGTTTGTTTGTTTATGATTTTGTTTCTTTGTTTAATTTGCTTTATATTGTTTGTTTGTTTCATTGTATGTTTATTTTTATTGTTTGTTTCATTGTATGTTTATCTTTATTGTTTGTTTGACTGTTTATGTTTCTTTGTGTGTATGTTTGTTTTTGATTGCTTGTTTGACAGTTTAGATGTTTTTTGTCTGTCTGTCTGAATTTTCGTTTGATTGTTTGTTTGTTTGTCTGTCAGCCTGTCTGTTTGATTTTTCGTTTTATTGCTATTTTGTCCATCTGTTTGTGTCCATTCGTCGGTTAGTGTGTCTGTCTGTCTGTTTGTCCGTCTTTGCATCTTGCGAATAAATAATAATGGTAAAATAATCTTACAGTTTATAATTTACAATTTTAAAGCAAAATATGTGTAACACATAATATATTATAGAAGAAAAGACGTATTATCATAAATAATACACGTAACGCAATACATATCATTCTTATTATCATTATCATTATTATATATACATATTATATATATTATATATAATATATATATATATTTTTTTTTTTTTTTTTTTTTTTGGGGGGGGGGGCGGCGGCGCTAATTAATCCGAAACCACAATGAAAAAGAAAGAAAGAAAAAGAAATACCTTTATTTCATTATTTTGTTCACGTGTTTTTTGCGTGTATGAGTTTCGTGATAGAGGCGCGGAAAGTTTCGTTCAAAGCGATCTCTGTTTTCGTTAACTTTGGGATAAGTTGGATAAGTTTGCTTGGCTCTGCTCGGGCATGGTGTGTGCGTGTGCGTGTGCGTTGTGTGTGTGCGTCGGGTGTATGCTTGTGCTTTTGCGCGGTTTGGAATGCTTGTTTGTGTGTGTTAGTATGTTTGTTTGTGTATGGTGTGTGAGTATGTTTGTGTGTGTGTGGTGTGTGTGTGTGTGTGTGTGTGTGTGTGTGTGTGTGTGTGTGTGTTGTGTGTGTGTGTGTGTGTGTGTGTGTGATGTATATGTTTACTTGTGTGCGTCTGCTTGCGTGTGTATCGCTTACTTATGTGTTGTTTGTATGCTTGTATGTTTGTACATGCGTGTGTGCGTGCGTGTGTATCCATGAAACTATGCCACATAAGTCTACATACACCAGGATGTGCACGCGCGTATGTACATAAGGAACTCGGAGGTGAACCCTTGCAAGAGTAAACAGTAAGAGTAAAAAATCATCCCAACCGGTAATTAGATAAAGCAACTGCCATTTATGTCTTTCCATTAAAAAATACGTATTTTCATTCATTAAAAAAAATAAATGAAATAAAAGGAGTGGGCGGAGCCAGGGGGAAGTCCGCCTTCTTGTTCTCTCCAGCAAGAAATTCAGACAACGGATTGCTAGTATACTAATTGCAAGATATTTGCGAATTGTAAGAAGTATGTTTATTGCAAGTAGTATACATATTGCAAGAAGAATCGAAGTATACAGATTGCAAGAGGTATGTAGATTGCAAGAAGTATACTTTACAAATATACAGATTGCAAGAGGTTTGTAGACTGCAAGAAGTATACTTTGCAAATATACAGTTTGCAAGAGGTATGTAGATTGCAAGAAGTAGCAAGAAGTATACTTTGCAAATATACAGATTGCAATGTACAAGAAGTATACTTTGCAAATATACAGATTGCAAGAGTGTAGATTGTAAGAAGTATGCTGATTGCAAGAAGTATGCAGATTACAAGAGGTATGTAGATTGTAAGAAGTATGAGAAGCATACAGATTGTAAGACATCTGTAGATTGCAAATATGTAGATTGTACGAAGCATGTACAAATTGCAAGAAGTATACAGACTGCAAAAAGAACAGGATGCAACAAGAATGAGAAGAGTTTGAATAAAAATAAATACAACACAAATTAAACCCGTTTTTATTTTTTTTTTACGTTGATATGCAACATTTAACGATTCACATTTTCTTATGGAAGGTCAGAGGTCTTGGAACTACTGAAATCAACATTAAAAAATCTGAATGTGATAATGTGTACTTTGACAGAAACATGTAGAAAATGTATATGAAGATGAATGTGTGGTGGCAGAGATTTACATATGAATGAGTACATATTAGCCATAAACTGATTCTGAAAAAAAAATTATAAAACGTATATATGTACATAGATGTGTAAATAGATAAATAACACAATGTAAATAACGTAAATAAATAACATAATGTAAATAATGTGGTAAGGGCATAAAGATAGCGCAGAATGATATAGAAATGATAGAAATCCTGCATTAATAAAATATATGTATAGCATATGTTATAATTGAAATTATGATCTATAGTCTATAGATCATTCTATAGTCTAATAACATTAAACATAACAATAATGATAATACTGTGTACGATAATCACAATCTAGTTATAACAACAGCGACAAAAATGACAAACATGATATAAGAAAACGCAAAAAAGGAAAAATAAATATATGAAAAATAAGTAAAAATTGCCAACTACGATATAAGAAAAACAAAGCAAATGGAGGAATTGACGATAAAGCAGAAGAAAACGCAGGGAGGAGAAGCATCGCCAGATCACGTTCAGCGACTGTCAGCTTCTGATCAGAGTGCCTGTGCTGACAAAGCTGCCGCAGCGAGGACGCGGTCGGGTCGAGCGAGCGAAAACAAGGTATCAAATATGTGTGTTTTGCGAGGGAAGTGGTGTGTGTTTTGTGTTTGTGTTTGTGTGTGTGTGTGTGTGTGTGTGTGTGTGTGTGTGTGTGTGTGTGTGTGTGTGTGTGTGTGTGTGTGTGGTGTGTGTGTGTGTGAGTGAGAGAGAGAGAGAGAGAGAGAGAGAGAGAGAGAGAGAGAGAGAGAGAGAGAGAGAGAGAGAGAGAGAGAGGAGAGAGAGAGAGTGAGAGAGAGAGAGATGTTAATTGAGTGAGCGGGCGTATGAATGTGTGTGTACTTATTTACGCGAACGTGTGTATCTCTAAGTTATATGTATCCTCATGCGTGTACATGTGCACGAATATCACAAACAGTGAGGCGAGGAAGCAATTTCAAATTAAATTAATCCACACCCTCGCCAGTTTCTTTTCTTGCTCATTAAAACACGGTTGCTGAAATGAAGACGCCGCTAATTTTATTTAACTCGGGTCTTTTTGAAAGGATTGCAAAACTGCATTTGTGTTGTGTGGGTGAAATCCAGAGTGGTTTTGAATGTTTTTTTTCTTTTTACTCTTTTTTTTTTTACTTTGTTTTGTTTGTTTTTAACGGTTTTGTTCTCGTCTCTCTGCTATGTTATGTTGCATATGTGATAAAATTAAATAACAGCAAATAGTTGGTAGTAGTGGAAGGAATTTCCCGTATGAAACAATTGAACAAAGGCTTCCGCATCAGTGTTCACACTCAGAATGAAAAATGGAGGAAGGGCTTAATGAACACGAGGAAGAGCAAATAACTAAACGGTAAAGAACATTTTGTTCAAGTTTAACTGTGCGAAAAGAACTTAACTGGCAATTACGAAAAAAAAATCTTATGGAGACCGTTTGGAGATAAATTTGTATCGTGTGCTCTGAAAACCGTCCTTTGTCTTATGTGTCTGACTTAATTTCTCTGTCTGTCTTTCTGTCTAACTGCTATCTGTCTCTCTTTCTCTCTCTGTCTCTTTCCCCCTTTTGCTCCCTCTCCTTTTTTCTCTTTCTCTTCCTTTCTATCTCCCTCACTCCCTCTCCTCCCCCCTCTCTCTGAAAGCGTTTACAAGAGATCTTGCTGATGCAACGCTTGCTCATCGACAAACCCAGGCCTTCTCCCTCTCAGATACACCTTACACTTCACTCTTGAAGTTTTAAACAGTTAGTGGGGAACCGGCGGTCGCGTGAGGGCGCTTACAATAGTGTGATGGTCGTGAAGGTAGTTTGAATCCTGTCTGAAAGTGTCGATCGCCAACGAACACCCTCATATAATATATTTACTTATAATTTCGACGAAGATATAACCGAAACCGGTCAAGTACGTTTATATTGCGAAGATATTCATTTCTCAGCATATACAAGACTAAGACAGGAAGACGACCCAGCTAAGGGAATTGAAGAGACGAAGACAGAGACGAAGAAGAAAATGGCGGGAAATTTAATATCTGCTTTGTTTTCGTCTGCGCTTTCGTCGCTTAATTAGTCGGTTACACATAAATAAGGTAAGGATATTACACAATGCATGGAAATATTACTTATTTGAGAGAGAAATACAGGAAATGTGTAAGGTGTTAGAGTGTGTAGTAGTTAAGGAAGGGCAGGGCGGGTATGTGACATTATCTTATGAGGGGTAAGGACTGATAACACTTGGGGTGTTAATACAGAGGGCGTGTGAGAAATGATAAAGTTATATGAAATTATATTAACAGATCGGGTGGCTTTATGCTCTCTTCTCTCTCATTCTCTCCCTTTTTCTTTTTTCTCTTTCTCTTTCTCTCTCTCTCTCTCTCTCTCTTCTCCCTCCCTCCCTCCCTCCCTCTCCTCTCTCTCTCTCTCTCTCTCTCTCTCTCTCTCTCTCTCTCTCTCTCTCTCTCTCTCTCTCCTCTCTCTCCTCTCTCTCATCACCCCTCTTTCTCCCTCTCCCTACTACTCCACCCTCTCTCTCTCTCTCTCTCTATCTCCCTCTCTCTCTCTCTCTATCTATCTATATATCTATCTCCCTCTCTCTCTATCTATCTCCCTCTCTCTCTCTCCACCTCCCCCCCCCCACCCATTCCCTCCATCCTCCAAACAACTCACCTTGGGCATGGTGACCAGCAAATGACCTGTGACCTGCGATCTCTGCGCCGTGGACTGACCTGGCCTGACCTCTTCCAGCAGCACCAACTGGAGCACTTTCCCCCTTATGGACACCCTAACGTACCAGGGCTCGACGTCACACTGTACCTGGCTGGCGTCGAGGTACCTGCGTGGTGGGGGAGAGGGGGGGAGGGGAGGTGAGAGGAGGGATTGTGAAAGAAAGGAGTGGAAAGGGGAGAGGAAAGAAATAAGGTGGAAGAGGAGGAAAAGGAGAATTAGGAGCAAGGGTAGGAGGAAGAAGAGGAGGAGGTGGACAAGGAGGAGGAAGAAGAAGAGGAGGGGGAAGAGTGAAGAGAGGGTTAAAGTGAGGAAGCAGAAGAGGGAAAGAGGAAGAGAACGAGGAGGGGAAGGCGAATGGGTGATCAGAGGATATAGAGGAAAAAAAAGGAAGAAAGAACGAAGAGAGGAAAGGAAGGAGGAGTATGAAGGGGTGAATAGGTAAGAAAAGGATGGAAAGGAAAGAAGAATTGGAAGAAGGAGGAGGAGAGTGTAGGGATGAGATGCGGATGGAGAGGAAAGTAAGAGGAAGAGGAGGAGGTGGGAAGGGCGAATGGGTGAGAAGAGGATGGAGAGGAGAGAAGAGAAGGAGGGGGAGGCAAAAAGGATGAGAAGAGAATAGAGAAGAGTGAAAGAGGAGTAGGGCAGAAGAGGATAAAAGAGTGTAGGGACAGAAAGACAAGAAAAAAGGGGACAGATGAGAGAGCCGAAGGAGAGAGGAAAGAGGTGAGAGGAGGAAAGTAAAGAATACAGGAAGAGGAACGAAGTGGGTGAGGAGTAAAAGGAAGGAAAGAAAAAGGCCACAGAAAAAAAAGAAAGAAAAAGAGGAAAAGAGGGGGAGGAGAGAAAGATAGAGAAAGAAAAACAACGAAAAGTTTGAGAAAGGAAGAGAAAGAGGGACGAAAAGAATAGAAATAAAAAACCCACACAAAGAAAAAAACAGGTTAAAGAAGAACAACAGAGAGAAAGAACAAAAGAGAAGAGGACGAAAGACGGGAAAAAGGAAATACAGAACATAAAATGAAGGAAATGAACAGAGAGGATAAATGGCGAGGGAGAATCAGAGGGGAAGTTAAAGGGGAGATGAAAGAACGAAAATAAAAGGAGGAGTTACACAGAGAGGGAGAACAGGCACAGAACAGAAGGAGAGGAATATATAAACATATTCACAGGCCTTGCATTAAACATATCTCAAGTAATTAAAAC